CTCAACTCTATTGTCCCTCTGCAAATTTGTGTAAACTGAGTCAATCCCTTAACTCTCTAAAAGTGCAAAGTTTCAAAAAGTTCAACGAATAGAAGATTGTTGGGGGCAGAATAGATCTGGACAAGGAGAAGAAGTCTAGAGATAAATGAGAAGCAAGGGACATGATTTTTTGTTTAAAATTTTTTTTAGTTAACTAAAACAATTTTAAATGTCTGTCTGGTTATTTCATTTACCAAAGGAAATTGAAGTCATTGGGAGATGAACTATCAATATTTGGAGGATTTTCTTGCCATGCTGTATTAGGAGACCACCACCAATCAACCAATCACTCACTTTCTGATATAGCTGTAAAACTAATCTGAAAAGTTTTCAAAATCACTCTTTAAAAAAATGTATAGTGTTCATCTTCTAAAAATGAAACCTACATCTAGCTGAGTTGTGAAGAATATGTATTAAGGTTATAACCAGCAAGAATGCACTTCTATGTAGAAAACCATGATTAAATCAAATCTTCCTGACTTGTGATTTAAATCAAATCCACCCTGATAGGACAAGAAGCAATGGGCTTAAATTGCAGCAAAGGTGGCTTAGGTAAAACTTCCTAACTGTCAGGGTGATTAAGCACTGGAATAAATAACCTAGGAAGGTTGTGGAATCTCCATCATTGGGGATTTTTAAGAGCAGGTTGGACAAACACCTGTCAGGGATGGTCTAGATAATACTTAGCCCTGCCTTGGCTGCAGGGGACTGGTCTAGATGACCTCTCGAGGTCCTTTCCAGTTCTGATTCTATGATTATGCATGCGCATGCTTCAATTACCCAAATTGTACTACCTCCCCCCGGCTGGTTTTTCAGTTTGTCATGTCATTTTGTAGAGATATTAAAGAAGGTACTAACAGTGATAAGTGACAGTGACCCCCTCATAATTTGTCCCCCACACTTTAAAATCCAACAGTTTCACCAAGTACAAAAATCTCTTGGGTCTTCTGTTAAAACTTGTAAGCTACTGTCTGTAGAAACCACTGATTGTATCTGTCCTGTGAAAGATACTTTATTACTATGTAAAACTTACAAACAAGTTAATTGACTTTGTTCTTGAAGTAATTGATACAATGTAAACAAACACTATAAGCTGTTAAGTGACTTTCACTTCATTCAACTGCTCCAAGGACAGACCCCCACCCTCTGTGATTAAAGGGCTGGGAGTCTCAAATAAATTAGCACACACCCTGAAAGTGGTGGAGACAGTAAATTAAAATATTGTTAAGATATGGAATGTATGCTGATGAATGCTTGATATACATGAATGGTTAGGGAGGTGCCAGCCTAGAAAGGAAGTATCCATCGGCCGAAGAATGTGTCAAGTGGATGACCAGAAAACCCCCAGGGGGTAAACTGGGATCCACCCCATCACCTGGAAGGATGAGAAACACTAACTTTGGACAGTGTGGAGCCACCAGGAATGTGCCACTTTGGACAGGAATGTGCCATCCGCTGATTGAGTCAGCAACAGCAGGATAAAACAGCTCCCATAGACTAACATAGGAATTAATTCCTATAAGAATGGACTCTAAAGACTGATGACTTTGAGTCTCTGGTTCTGCTGCCAACCTCCAGGAGCATCAGGTGCACCTGACACAGACTCGGCTTCATCCTCATGACCAAGATACCTGGCCAGTAACTTGGCATGAGCAACTTCTAGGCTGGCAACTATAACACCTATACAGAACTTGAATGAATGATTGTGTACATGAATCTGTGTGTGTATAAGAAATAAGTGGTCAAATAACCTTGTTTACTTTTATCTTTTGCTTTATCATTATATTTACAATAAATGTGGCATCTTTGCCTTATCCCTCTTAATAAGATCCTGCTGGTTTTTATTCTATTGGTATAACAATTTTATGCCTCCTTGCCCTCAATCTTCTCAGGAAAAAGGACTTTTTGGTGTTTGTGTTCTTTACCTCAGAACGTACAGCACATTGACAGACCAACAGTAACACAATAACATAAATCTGAGCCATCAGCTACTTTGTTTTTAAAAAAAAAAAAAAAAAAAGTAAAACTACACTTACACAAGCAAGGCATTGGCTCATGTTTCTTCTATACTGATTCACTGTCTAATTACAAATCTTTAAAATATAGCTGACAATGCTTTTAATTTTACTATTTAGCAATCCTTCATTTTTAGCTAAGTACATATTATCCTTTATCTACTTGGGCAGAAGAGTTTGGCGATCACACTAGCTTTCTTTAATGTCAACATTTATCTTTAAACATGGGGGTTTTTCATTCAAAGTCCAGTTTCTTTGTGAATCATTACCAAGAAACTTCATTATAAATTTTCCTGTGGATACATTTTTGTGGGATGTCAATTTTAAGGCCTGGATACTGAGTTGCTTTTAATGGTACCCCAACAATAGTGCCAATAGGGTTTTTGTTTGAATGGTCTCTTTAGGTATTTATAGCTCACTCATCACCATCCGTGGTAGCTGTTCACCTCAACAGCCATATGTTACAAATCATTAAGGGATTTAACCGGCTGGGGTTTCTGAGCTGTGCCAGAAACATTAATGGGACTCTTGTGGCCTAAACTCCACAACAAACCATGCAGATAAAGGTTTTAGTGCCTGGAAAAAATACATGATGCAGGACTTTAAAATGGGCAAAGTGGGATTCTAGTTGCTTCTAACATTAACAGACCCTGCATAATCACTCTTCTTGTGGCTTATGATGGGTGGGGAACCTTTTTTCTATCAGGGGGCCATTGACTCACATTAAAAATCAGTCCTGGGCTACACATAACAGGGGGATCAGGTGGGCAGAGGCTCAGGGCTTCCCCTAGGCTCTGGGGTGGGGCCAGAAATGAGGGGTGGAGGGGGGCTGTGACATTCTATACCTTGGAGTACTCTGTAACCCCCATATTTGTCTTGCAATTGTGATATTGCATATAATGCAGGCCATGTGAGGTATCAGGGGAAGGTTATGATCTGCTGAAAGTACATTTTTCTATCTAAATGTGTATATCATTAATGCATATGAAGTTGAGAATGTGTTGTATGGTTGTCACTAAAATATGCTGTGGGTTTGGGAAGCACAGATGCTCGCTCCCCAGGGCCAATGAAGGTAACCAGCGTCTGGGTGGCTGCTGAACAGAATCACCAGCCATTGTCCAGCAAGGAAACTACAATTCAATGACTCACCTGAATAAGGCCAAAAGCGGGGAATTGCTCACCTTTGCCTGGGGACTCAGCAATGCCCACCAGACATGCCTGGACTTGTGTTCTCCAAGCACATGACCTAAGGGTATAAAACAGAACATGGGAGAAGGAGTGGGGGGCCATGCTTTACCTTTTTCCTGCCCCCCCCCACCTATGCTGCAAGCAACAAAGACACAGAGAAGACTAGCCCAGGTTTAAGGGACAAACCTGTGTATTCCGGATTGTGATATCCAGTGGGGTGAGAAACTGCTTAATCTAGATGTTGCCCAGCCTAATAGGGTTGAGTTTGGACTGCATGCTTAGAATTGTTGCCAAAATAAATTGACTTTTTTGCCTCTCACTTTAATAAAAAAGAAAAAAAAATTTATAGTCAAACTTCTGTATAACTTTACCAGTGAGTCTGCCTGAAGTGTATAGTAAATCTGCTCAGGCTTGCAAAGGCTGGTGTGTCACCACTTTCCATTGGTGTGGTGAACCAATTAATTTGCACTGTTCATCTTCAGTAGTGCAAAAGTGTGTAGTCCTGAGGTACAAGGCTGGGATCTGGGGGGATTTGGCTAGTGCTTCACTCTGATTCATGAGGGCTTTAGGAGCATTCATACAAGTGAGCTGGGTATGGGGCTCCACGTGCAGTTGTGCTGAGTGATAACAACAGCACCTGCAGGGGTTTGCTTCTTGACATTCGCAAAGCACTGAGACAGCCCAAGCACAGCAGTCCTAGGCTGCACCCTGGGGATCCTATCGCAGGGGTGTAGAATGAAGTGAGGATCTGGCTGGGGGTGCAGGCTCTGGGGTGGGGATGAGGTACAGTAGGAAGTTGGGGTGCAGGGGGTATGGGAGGGAGTTCTGACCTGGGGCTGAATTTGGGGTGCAGTCTCTGGCCACACAGTACTTACCTCAGGCAGCTCCTGGCTGGCAGGGCTGAGGCAGGCAGGCTCCCTGGCTGTGCACGGCTCCCAGAAGCACCTGGCCTGTCCCTCCCCTAGGCAGAGCCACCAGGTGGCTCTGCATGGTGCATGCTGCCTGGGCCTGCAGGCACTGCCCCACAGCTCCCATTGGCCATGGTTTCTGGCCAATGGGAGCTGCCGAGCCAGTGCTGGGGGCAGCAATCAGGGAAGCTCTGCATGCCCCTGCTCCTTCGGGCTGCAGGGACATCTGGTAGCTGCATGGAGCTGACCAGACTTTTAATGGCCTGGCAACCCTAGTTTCTCTCTCACCACCCCCACGGGAGGGCAAGTCGGTGCTCATGGCTGCAGCCATGGGAGTGGGGGGTGATAGAGGCTGCTGGCCTGCACTGCAGGAGCTTGCCGTGGGCTGGATGAAATGAAGCAGCAGGCCAGATCTGGCCCACAGGCTGTATGTTCCCCCAGCCCTGGTTTATGAAACGACACAAGCATAGGCTATTTCAAATAATACTCTAAGCCAATGAGACCTTTTGTTTTGAGGACCTGAGGTGTGCTATAGTGGAGGGAGAATAAACCACACTTAGCATGGTAAATATCTCGAATGTACAGAAGGTCTTAAATAAAATACAGTTGTTGAACCAGGTTAAAATGTGCTACCACTCAACTTGATAGCAATTATGTAAGTTCTGTGGAACTTGTCTGCACAAGGAGGCTTTTGCTCCACCTAAATGCCCAGAGGGCTGTCCTTCCTCACTCAAAATTTCATTGAACAATGTTTGAATGACCCCATCTATGGCTGGCCTATCATATGATATGTGCTGAGCACACACAGAGAATATCTAGTTTGTATCAGTACCTATGTTCTTGCCAAAGTCACTCTTCAGTGGAAAGAAGCATTCTCTGCACAGCTGGGACCGCTTTCCAACAGAGGCTGAGACATGGAAACTTCTGGAAAAGTAAGCAGGGCACACTTATAAATATTGTATGGAGTTTCAATCAAATTTCTAAAATGTAGTAAGTATTCTCTTTGCTCAAAGGTCAAAGAGCTGGCTTTTTGTTATAACATTCCATTTTCTAGGCAGGTTTTCTGTCCTTTACTCATAAGGTACACTCCTAGCTAGAAAAATCCCATTCTTCAAATATTTTTAAACTGCACATGGCTATCGGTAAATAGGTGGCCTAGCTATTGCATTGCTTTTTTCCCCCCATCCCTTCCTCAGCCTAGAGTGGGGTTGACTGAGGCATGAAGGGCTCAGTTCAGTTAGGAGTGTAAACTTATTTGGGATTTCTAGGGTCTTGTATAATATTTTAAATTACAATAAATAGGTAGCTGTAGCCAAGAGCACATGAATTTTGGATATCCAGAGGGGTAGTAGGGAGGAGTGGGCTATAGCACTAGGTGGCTGCCATTGGAGCCTGGGACAAGTTAGTGGGTGGGAGCTGAACAGTGGGGAGGTTCTGGGGTTTTGAAACTGGTTGTAGGGAGAGAAAGACATAGGTGGGGGAGGAAAGAGCTCTCAGGCTTATTTGAGGAGAGGAAAACAGGGGGCAGGTCCCTGGGTCAGTGCTATAGCATGAACAAAAGCTTTCTAGTTCCAGTTGAACAGAGCCCTTATTGTTTTTGAAAATATTTCTTTTTATCCAGTGCAATTACACTTGACTGCATACCTGAAATAAATTATTTGAAAGCTGTGGCTACTGTATAATAGCTTTCACGTAATCTGCAACCTGGGGCAAAAGACAGTGATGTATCATACAACTGAGAGCAGATAAAATGCAGTGTTCTTGTCAATCATTTCCTTTGTAAATAGTACAAATCTCATTGAGCTGGATGTCTTGTGATCCTGGGCCAGCTGTTTTTTAGCATTGCAAAAGTATTTCAAATCCATGAGTCTTTTGCCCATATAGGACTGAAAAGTTCAATAAAATTTTCCATATCTCTTCCATGCCCAATGCCAAAGTTGATTCACTTTAAAAACTAGAACGGCTTTGGTAGCAGTTTTCCTCACCGTTTCTCTCAATTGGTCTCTTACTCTACCTGCTCTACTTCTACCATTTGCCCCTTGGATGCTTTATCTCTTAATCCCTTTTTTTCTAGTGTCTAGCAATGCAATAATTTTCAAGTTGAAAATTTGCACTAAATTTCTGAGGGTGTTCTAGATCAGACCAACCATTCTTGCCCATCCCCTATTTCTGTCTGTGTAGATTTTTTTTTTTTTTAGCTGCAGTAACAGAAGCTAGACTTTGGTCTTCAAATATGGGTTTCAAGCAGTAGCTACAATTTCTTTTTAAATCCTTGAAGCAAGTAGATTCCAAGTCTCCTCCCACTTTCAGTGCAAATGGAATCATTCAAAAACCATTTCCAGGAATACAAACATTAAAACTGACCCATTCTCAGAAGCATTCTGTGGTTTGGCTTGGACTATTAGCTGTAATGTTGACTCTTGAGGGCTTCGGTTTAAAACTCTAGCAGTATTTTTCAGTTTTATCTCTTACTTCTCACCAGTCTCCAGAAGGCAGACAGACTGCTCTGCTACCACTGTAGCTGGTATCTTTGAATCTTCATACTAGGCAGGAAGAAGACAATGTCTTCCATGGCAATGCCCAGTGAAGCAAAATGAGTGGAAGTAGCATAATACATAGGGCTACCATATGTCCGGATTTCCCCGGACATGTCCGGCTTTTCGGTCTATGAATAGTGGACGGGGGGGGATTTCTAAAAATGTCCGGGATTTCCCCCCGGTCCGCTATTTATAGACAGAAAAGCAGCAGCCAACCACCGCTCGGCATACAAAGCCCCTTCCCTGCTCCACCCCAGCCGCTGCAGCCTTACCATGCCGTCCGGCCCCACAGTTGTCTTCCCTCTCCTCCCCTCCCCGAATGCTCCACCCCCCTGCTCCTCCCCCTCCCCTGCTTCCCGCGAATCAGATCTTCGCGGGAAGTCTGAAAAGAAGCAGGGGCAGGCGGGCGGCAGCAGCAGGTAAGCTAGGGGGAGGAAGGAGAGCTCCGGGGAGGTGTGGCTCGGCCCGGGCGGCTTCCGGCCGGGCAGCACCCGCCCCAGTTCTGGCCGGGCCCCAGCGGCGCCGGCCCGGCTCAGGCCCCAGCCCCGGTTCCAGCCGAGCACCTCCAGCCCCAGCTGCTCTGGCCCGGCCTGGCTCGGGCCCCACGGCGCCAGCCCCAGTTCCGGCCAAGTGGCGCCGGCCGAGCACCCCCTGTGCTGGCTTGGGCCCCAGGGCAGCGGCCCCGGTTCCGGCCGAGCGCGCCGGCCGAGCACCTCCAGCCCGGCCCCAAGCCCCGCGACCCCGGCCGGAGTGCAGCCAGATTCCTGGGCTCTTTAAAGCCAGCCCTAGTCAGGGGATGGGATGGGGGGGGGGATGGAGGTTCTGAGGGGGCAGTCAGGGGGTGGGAAGTGGGAGGGAGTGGATGGGGGTGGGGCAGGGCAGGGGTGGGGCTAGAGCGGGGCTCCTCCCCCCCCCCAGTGTCCCCTTTTTTTGCTTGTGGAAATATGGTAACCCTAATAATACAGCTTAGCAGAAGGGAACTCCACCTATAAAAGGGGAAAGTCACTCAGCAGGGACACATTTGCTTGGAATAAAATGTTCTGGATTCCTGAAATTAGGAAGATGCATACAAGCAGTGAAGTAGAAATTAATGTTATGCCATTATTTTTGCATTTACTCTCCTGGTCATTTTTAGTGACTACAGGCTCTTGCACAAGTGTAACTTAAATTTTTTCACAGGTTATTAAATGCAAGGCTGCTGTTATCTGGGAGGCAGGTAAAGCGCTCTCTATTGAGGAGGTGGAGGTTGCTCCTCCAAAAGCTCATGAAGTTCGTGTTAAGGTAAAAGTTCTTGCTCATGTTGTTCCTATTCTCTGTGAAGGATTCTGTATTGTGGATGTGCTGAATGCTCCTCTCTTTGACATCTCATGTCTTGGCAAGGAGGGTGTGTGTGGTGGGGTTTTTTTTGTTTTTTTTTTTTAAAGATTCCTGGTTGCCTAAATGTTTAAAAAATCCCCATCTCTTCACCAGCCTCTGGTCAGAGGCGATCATTGATGGATATTTGAGCAGTTGCTGGATGCTTTGTTTATGCACTCTCTCTAGGAACTTTACCAAAACGCACACAAATCCCTATCCTTATTTTACAGATAGGGAAACTGAGGATAGGGTGGTGAGTGACTTAAGATTACACAGCAGGTGAGTGGTAGAGATGGGCACTGGACCCAGGTCTCCTGACTCAGTGACTAAGGCACTAGACTGGGAAACACTAGTACTGTTAGTATTCCTATCAGTACTTGTTTGCCATTTTAGTACTTGTTGCTGTTGTTTTGGCTAGTGCACTGTGCAGAATAGGGGGTTACTGTAGATATCTAACGAAGCTAAAAGTTCAATTAATGCAAAATCATTGCAATACAGCTTTATATATAAAAAATGCCAGGATTGCTCATGCCAGTAAATGTGCTGGATATGGCTGAAAAGCAGGAATTCTCACTGGATTTTCAAATATTGTGCACACACTCACACTGTCCTGCAGGAATGTTACTTGCCGGTCTTACACATGGTCTGTTACAAAATTAGGTTGACACAAGTTATGCATGTGTCAACACCAAATTTGTCTCCCACTAACATAAGCACCATTACAGCAACAAAATAACATCACCTCCTGAGCCACAGCAAACCTACTCTGGTAGACCAGGTGAGTGTAGACACTGCACTGGTTGTGTCAACGTCCTAGTCTTCCAGCAGCTATCCCACAATGCCCCAGGCCCCACAACAGTGACTGCTTCAGTCACAATTGTGAACTCCACTGCTCAGGAGCCACAGACTGGAAGCCTGCCCCCCACACCTCTTTTGAACCCCATGTGTTTTTAATGCCTTTTTCCTGACTGCTCACCTTTGTTGCATGCATCTGACCATGCCAGCTCCACGCACTGACTGAGCTACTAGACACAGTCCTGCCTGGAGCAGGCAAGATGTAATGGATCTCCTCACATGGTGGAGAGAAAAGGCTGTCTAAGCATAGCCATAGAAACCATCAACATCTAGGTGGAGATTGTACAGGGGATGCTGCAACAGGAACACAAGAGATGGAACGGCAGTGCCATGTAAAAACGAAGGAACATCACCAGACATATCACAAGGTGAGAAGAACACAACTAGATGCTGCCCCTCAGACCAGCAGCTTTTACAATGACACGCATGACAATGAACACCCCCCCCCCCCCCCCCCCCCCCCCACCACCCTGCAGGCAACTGTAGCCACTAAAGAGGAACCCATGGTGGAGACCTCTGCTGTGGATAGCAAGGAAGAAGGAGATGTGGCTGGGGACTCCAACCATGCTGCAAGCCAAGAACTGTTGCAACTCTGCCAGAGTCAAGCCAATTTTGCCAGGTGAGTGCAGAGGTGCTGTCAGGGTTCCCTACCCACTCTGAAGTACAGATGTGGGGACTCACATGAAAGACCCCCTAAGCTTGTATTGCATCAGCTTTAGGTTAAAACTTCCCCAAGGCACAAATTCCTTTCCTTCTCCTTGGATGGTATTGCTGCCACGACCAAGTGATCTAAACAAATTCAGGAACAGGTCACTTGGAATCTACTTTCCCCCAAAATATCCCCCCAAGCCTCTTCACCCCCTTTCCTGGGGAGAATAATATACCAACTAATTGCCTTTAATGTAAGTACAGACCAGACCTTTTGATTTTAGTGTCCTAAAGATAATCAGGTTCTTAAAAGAAGAATTTTATAATAAAGAAAAGTAAAAATCACCTGTAAAATCAGGATGGAAGGTAATTTTAGAGGGTAATAAAGATTTAAAACACAGAGGACTCCCCTCTGGACTCAGCTTCACAGTTCTAAAAAAAGGAATAAAACTACCTCTTAGCATAGGGAAAACTCACAATCTTTGTAGCGGCACAAACAGCTCCTGCTCCCGTTTTGCTACCGGCGTGCTGAAGCTGCAACGCGGGAGGGGCTTTTGCTGCCTGAGCGGCTCAATCCGGCGCAGCTGCCCTGTCAGCCGCTTTTGGGTCTTTAGATAGCCGTCCGGGGGGAAATCCTGGACATTTTTAGCTTTTTACAAATTCCCCCCGGACGGCTATTTAAAGACCCAAAAGCCGGACATGTCCGGGGAAACCCGGACGGATGGTAACCCTAGACAACACTACTGTGGCTGACCATTAAAATGGTCATTTAAGGCCTCCCTGCCTCACTGTATAGCTTCCTGGTTACCTCTTCTAATATCCCTTGTGTCTGACTGCTCAAATTCAGCAGACAATTGGTCCACCTCTGCCCTGGCAGCAGGGTGTAGGGTTTTTTGTGTGCGCTTCTCCGGTTTTATGCAGGGCACAACAGGCAGCTATAACCATGGGATGTTTTTT